ACCAGTATTAAATTAATGATTGATAATTTAATGAATGAAAAGCCACCCATATCGTCGTCTCTCTCGTAGCTTTGGTTTCTACGTTTCCTTCTCTGCGTAGTGTCAACTTTCATCACATTATTGCATAACGAGACAATTGGAGATAAAAGAACAAAGTGACAACCAATTAGTGTCGGCTTTCTACGCATATTTTTTATATTTGTCGTCCCAACCGTCCATGGCATGCCTAAATTCTGCGTAATGAACGATATGATGATGACTATTGTGCTCATTGTGTTTGGTTTTATTTCTTTATTAAATCATGATTAATTGGTTTGTTTGTAAAAAAAATTGGGACAAAGATGTGAATGACGACTAACTACTGAAGGAATTATGTATGGTCGATGAGTAATAAAAAATGTAGTGGAGAGAGTTACATATTTTCTAAGAGATAAATACATAAATATTTTTTTATACGCTGTTCTTACAATAAGTAAAAATAAATAAAGAAATGGCATTGTTCACGACAAATTCGCCGTGTTATAAAAAGTAGCGTCCATCGGAGTGAGGATGATTCCATGAAAAATGAGACCAATCCAATCTCGCTTGGTATCAACTTCATTACAGCAAATTGGATTCTTGCTTCATCGGCGAGTGGAAGGTGTGGCGAATCAAGAATTACAATTCAAATGTCGAACTTGGACACTCGAATGGATTAGATTAGCCCAAACTGCTGCTGCTGAATTTGGAATGTGTGTGTTATTGGATGAGAAAGAGATTGGAGCAGGAGTTGATTACTTGTGGAGTGAGTGAGTTTGTACGTGCTAAAGTGAATTGAATTGAATCTCTCTCGCCGGCTGGATTATTGGATTGGATTGAGCTGAACAGACAGCAATCCTGCTTCTCCGTTTCCAGTTTCCCAGCTATAAATGTTTATATAAATATGAGATGAATTCAGGAATTCTGAGACCAAACTCGGACAGGTTTCCTCTTTCGGGGAGAGGACTGGAATTTTTTAGAGAGTAGGGTGCCGGAGAAAGCTATCGTGGGAGAAAGTCTGGTAGCATAGTTTCGTGGGAAATATGATCCCACCCCAAAATTTACATCAAATTTATATTTTTTGCTTGTATAAATTTCTGAAAAATTTCATAAAATGAAAATATTGAAAATTTACATTTATAAATCATCATTTTCCCGGAAAAGCTAATCCGGGGAAAGTCTGGTCCCACTTTCGTGGGAAATATGACCCCCTCCCCAAATTTACACGTTTTTTGCTTGTACAAATTTCTGCAAGATTTTACAAACCAGAAATATCGTAAAAATATAAATTTCCAAATCATGTTTTTTAAACCTTATCCTTTACAAGCTAGAGTGAACGTGAAATTTACCGTGTTGAAGTTTGGATTGGTTGTTCCGCTGGATGCGGGTGGCTGGCTGTCACGTTGAGATACAAAAGTTCTGGGTGTAATGTTCAAGTTTGGTGGTGGTGGTTGTTTGAGATGGTAATTTGAACATGGAATTGAATCCGAAATCGGTGTCGGGGTGTGTACATAGTCTGAGCCTACATGTAGAGGGGAAGCAATAAAAGGAATCTCAATAATGCTGAGCTCCCTTTTTCTCACCACGATGAACTCGGCATCCGCATCGTGTGAGCTAAGTGAAGTGAACTAATAGAAAAATAACACATGTATTTTGCCCAATAGACAAATTTTAGAGGACGGATACCTTCATAAATTCCGGGGAAAAAAACTCCCGATAAAAAATTGTCAATCCGATTTTGTTCAAAATTTTGAACAAAATTTTGAATAAATATTTTTGACAATTTTGCATCCTTTTCTACACGCATGTCTTGATAGTGAATAGCAGATTGGATTCGAAATATTGACAAAACCAAAATTTCCTCGTTTTCCACTAAAACCTCTGTATAAAAAAAATAAACAAAATTTTGATCATTTTTTCCAACCAAATTAGTGACGTAGCATCTGCACCCACTTTTGTGCTTTCTTCCCGTGAAAGGGTGTGTTCCGGGCTTCACTTCACTTTCGGGCTTGGCTTCCTGTGCTTTGACGAAATCCCGTTGTTGCGTCCTGATGGATTGTTTTCTAATGTTGAGGAGCGGAGTCGGAGTTGGAGAGATCGGATCGACGGGCGGGGATGGGTTCATTCAATCATTCACTTTATTTCACTTTACTTTTATTGAAGGATGGAAGCGGAAAATGCTATGGGCTGGGTTTCCCCTTCTTCTTTCCCAGAGTTTAGTCAGGGGATGGGCATCCTAGGAATGCAATTATCAGGATTTCCCCCTCCGCCGTTTGGGTGGAGGGTGACACCTTATCGCTCTTTCACACCATCATCACCACCACCGACACCAACCACCAGACAAACATAAGAGACCCGGCAGAATGTCATGTCATCGTCTCCTCTGTCATGTCAGAAGGCACTTAATTTTGGGGAAAATCATGTTAAATGTCGCGTAATCACGGAAGCGAGAAGTATGCAGACCCATTTATTTCCCACCTTTGTGATAAATCAATAAAATCCGTAATTATTTACTCCGACGGAGGTGTGAAATGTCAAGGTTTCACCAATCCATTTTTTTTCATGAGCGTATCATAATTGGTAAAACTGTTTAAAGATTATTCATTCATTGCAGACATGATTTAATGAACAACAGTTACCCATGTAACTGTACGTATTGATACTCTTCTTGACATTCTTCTTCATTATTAGCTGGCGGAGAGATGGATTGGATCGAATGGGAATTCCAGGAACAATCAGAATCTCGCTCCCGAAATTCCAATGTCACTCAACTTAATCGAGACTTTAATGGGAGCAAACACGGATTTGAGACGACGGACAAAAATACAAACAAAAATAAACCTGAGCGAATTTCCATTTCTCAGAATAACCGTGAATTCTAACAGAATTGATTGAATTGCATTCTGCGGGAACCGTAATATCATGCGTGGATTGGATCAAACTCAAGTAAATAGTGCTGTGCAGAATCGTTTTCTCGAGAGAAGTCAGCTCAATCCTTCTCTATTTGTTTGCCGTGGTCGTGTACGTACGTAATCTGAGGCGATGACAGGGGAAGAAGAATGAAGATGAAGACAAAGTTGGGGAATCCATCAACTTCAGGCGGAAGGAAATTGGATCGAAATACCAAAATAATTCGACTCATAAAATCCATGTGAATGCATAAAACGAAATGATTTCAGCCAGACTAGTAGATATTTGGTTTAAATCAAACATTTCGCTTTACACGCAGCACTCGAGAGATTTCAACTTGAAATCAACTACTTTTACAATTTGGATCATCCTCTCAGAGTGAAGAGTCATTAAAGAAATAGGAAGCTGAGCTGAGACCACTCGACGACGAATGTGTTTAGTGGGAGAATTCCTGGAATTTGTGATTGTTCGATGTGAACAAGTCAATGGTATGGATGGATTGAGTTGAGATGGGCTCAAGTTAATGATGCGTGTTACTTTTCTGATGTAAAACTGGGTGCAGATTTAATTGTGTCGAAAATTCTGTGAAATTTGAGAAAGAATACGTTAAATGAAATTTTAATTGCAAATGTGATTTTACTCGTATACTTTTTTTTGTAACGCATTCAAAATTGCAGTTAAAAGAGGTTAATGGTTCATTGTTCTAATTAACTGCACTATTAGGTTTCTTTTTTTGGTGGTAAATAAATTGGCAAAAATTGTACTTGTAATCGAGTTATAGCAATTTAGCAAATTGAAAAACTCATCATCTTCTTGTAGCGAAATAATTCACGTCTTCTCTCTCATTACGACTCTCTCTCTCGCTCATTTATGCATTCCATTTGGAGACATGGGGCTTATAAAGAGACCATGATTTCGTGGATTTAACGACTTAACGAGGAAACCCAAATCACTTCCTTTCCTTTATTTCTTACACAAGCAAACCCATTTCGCACCTATTTCAAGGCTGTGTCTGCAAGCCAACCATACCTTCTTGCTCCCCATAAAATAAAGTAAAATCCTTCTCCCTGCCTGGTTTGAATCTTTTTACGACCTGGAGCAGCACAATTTCAGAGGAAAGGCAGCCGAGGGGATGTTCCTCTCCTTTTACACGAGGTGAATTCTAAACCGTACGAAGAGGACAAGATGCGAGATGAAAATGGTGGATGGAGGTGATTCAGCACCTTTTTTACTACCAAAATGTCCCTACATGTATAAGATCTCTTCCCTTCCTAGTAAAGATATAGACCTTAGTGAAGAATATACAAAAAAAATTCAAAACTTTTCAGAAAAAAATATATTACCAAATGAAAAATTTATTGACACATTTTGTATTATGTTGTAATAAATATCTTCCCCCTCAGAACCATGACCCACGATTATCCTCATACATAACGTCCCATAATAGACTTTAGAATGTACAATGCATACAAAATTTTCAAAAATTTTTCCAAAAAAATATTACCCACGAAAAAATTTAGTGACACATTTTGTCCTTAATTATCCTGTACATAATATCATCCCCCTCAAAACCATGACCCACGATTATAACAATTATCTATCCTCCCTTCTCCATCTTAATATAGACAAATCCATTAAAATTAATTTGGATCTCGCCTAAAGATTCCTCTCGATCTCTACTCCGTCCGTCCGTCTCACTCTGCGCGTCCCTAAATACAATTTGCCAATCTCATCCAATCCATTAAATTAGCTCAGCATCTCAGATTGAATTAGCTCCTCTCGGGCCATCATCAACCAACGCACACGTTCGTACTGACAAAAGACCGAGTATTATTTTCATTCTCCATGCAGAAAAAGCAACATATTTGTAACAAAGGCTTGTAACGGCGGTGGGGATTGGTGGCGTTGGTCGTGTAGCCTGCTCCCACTCCGGCGTGGAGGAGGTGCCTGATAAAAAGTGAGTTTTGTTACCTAATAACATAACCCAGCCACATAAAGCGTCGCGTTGTGTGGTACTCAGTCTGCTGCTTCTTCTTCTTAATAGTTTACTTACTTATATATACGAATTTTATTAAGAGCTGTGTGTGAGCAAAGGGAACACCATAACACTCGTTATTACCACTCTAGTCTTAATTCACTCTTACTCTGGCAAGTAAGTAGGCAAATAAACACGTACATATCCATCCACCACGTAGATGATAGCTCGCATAAAGGAGGAAATTGTTCAAGGGGTATCCCTCAACAGTGAGAAGCTTCATTTCATCTTCATTTCATTACTCGGGCTTAACTCCAATCTTCAATTCAATTACGAGTCATTATCATTAAATATCTGAGCGAGGGAGGTTGTTTTGTTGGAGTGAGGATTATTGGACGAGTGCAAATTGTTGATTGCTTTTGTGGGAGAGAAGAGAAGTAATAACAATAAAATAAAATAAGGATTAAATTGCCCATTAAGTTATACACACACACATTCAACATTGAGAACTTACACGGTTTGCTTGCTTACCACTTGGTTGGGTGCCGGTCAGTGTGTACATAATTTGTAAGAACGGGTTGTCGTTAAAGGATTTTCTTACCGCTGCTACATACGATTCATCGTCAGACTGACTGGAATAAAGAATCTGCGGGTTACAATTTTATGATATAAAGTGATAATTAATATGTGATTAGAATAAATGGGGACGCAGAGGAGATAAATAGTTTGCAGAGTGGTGCATGGTGGTCGTGTTAATGGGCTGTTTATTACCGGAACAAAGCTGTGAACTTTGTAATAAATTGAAATTATTTTTTTAAAACGGATTTTTTAAAGAAGACTGAATTTTTTGTAGTGATGTGACACCTAATTTATTATTATTATGTACTGTTCACCCTCCTCCTCATCGTCGCTGCAGTATTCCGCATTTTCATCCCCCGTGTCACACCCCTTGCTGAAATTGATGAGTTTATCTGCCACACTGCCCCCACCATCGTCGTCGTCGTCACCCTCGTCCACGTTATCCAGCTACGAGGCCATGCTGCTCAAAGGTGGTGGGCACCAGTCCCCCGTCCCCATTCCCAGTCCGAACAATGCCCAGCACCCCGAATCCCCCAAGAGCAGTGCGGCCACCCAGAACGGAGGTGGTGGTGACCATCACACGTCGTCATCCTCCTCGTCAACGTCGTCATACACATCATCCCTCACTAATAATAACAATAATAACACCACCCTCAAGGAAGATCTCGTCTCGTCCCCTCCCCCACAAAGTAAAGATGACGATGCCGACGAGGTCCTCAGCATCGGGGGCAACGACGAAGCCGACACGACCACGACGGACGAAGTTGTCACCGTCGTGGACATGGAAGACGGCGAGAAAACAATCCTCCTCGATGGCGAGGAAGACGACAATGATGATGACACTTTCTCTCAAAAGTCTCACATTTCCCAGACATCCTCCCTCCCTGCGTCGTCCTCCTCCTCCTCGTCGACGACGGGGGGTCGGGTGAGAAAGTACTCGAGTGAGGACTGCTTCTCAATTAAGTCGCTCTGTTCCCCGGCGAATAATCACAACGCAATTTGTAACGGGTCGCCACCGGAGGAAATCTTGCGACGGACCTCGTCCTCCCTGCTTTTCTCCATTGCCAACATTTTAAGACCCGACTTTGGGTCGAGTCCTAGTCCTTTCGTCCCTCAGAAGAGGAGTACTAAGTCACCCCCACGACCCCACTATCTGGGTGGGGCGGCGGCAGAGTTATACAAACCGTACGGTTTTCTGGGGGGACACAACACGAATCCGATCGACTTGTCGAGAAGTCAGGCTTCGTACCCCGGTTTGCTGGATAAGATCTCATCCTCATCACCTCCAGAGCCTGGGACGAAGCGGAGCAGTAGTTATCAGCATCATCACAAGAGTAAAAAGTCGCACGGGAACAGTGGTGGTGACCGGGACAGGATTAAGTCCATGGGACAACAGTCACATAACAACCCGCATAGCAAAAGTAATCATATCAAGTCAAGTAATTTATCGGGTGCGGGAGGGACGACGACGACGAATAGTTCTAGTAAATCACCAGGCCTGACACCCTTGCCAAATCCGAAGGAAAAGAAGGGTGATTCGGCAGGAAATAATGGACAAACGTTGTGGTAATTGGATAATACTTAATTTTATGTATTGGCATTCATACATTAGTCACAGGAAAATATTGACAACTAAAAAGGCACACTTTAAGGGACGCACTTTACAGTTTTATCCACTTTTTCATGTCCTCTACAATTTTACTTTGACTGCTTTACATTCCATGTCGCTAAGGTCAAATTAACGTTTATCCTCAGATTCAGAATTGATTTAGTAAAATCATGTGCAAACTACAAATAAATAAAATGTGCCAAATTTTCATAGATTTAAAAATTGTCTATTTTTTCTCCACAGGCCGGCTTGGGTGTACTGCACGAGATACAGCGATCGACCATCATCAGGTAAACATTTGCTACAATTAACAAATTTTCATCGGCAAACTTCTTCCTTCAACCTCTTAATTCGGCTATTATGCTTTTTGAATATTTCATGACTGCATTAATTATATCGCAGACAACTCTTCTTGTTGTCTATTCAGTCCGCATCACACAAGCAAACTAAACTACTACCTAAAATATGTAGGTGTATGTACATACGCACACTCGTATGCTAATTGAACAAGTTAATGAAATCATTAACTACTCCTTAATTAAGTTGTACGTACTATTGCAATATTGCTGCATGTATGTACATAATATAACAAGGTACCGTATGAATAATTTGCAAATTATTGTATGTACAAAAAAGTTGCAAAATTATTTATGTATGACTACAAAAAAATTAACCAATAAATAACCAAATCTTTCAATACTGGTTAAGATGACTTCCGAGATGACACATCACATTTCCATTTTTTCTGATGATTTACTCCATTTTTTTCGTATTACACAAACCAATGACTGTTTTATTTATTGAGGAAACCACTCTGTTTTTTATTGTCATTTCTCCATCCATCCATCCGCACACACAAAACAGTTTAAATTTATTACGTAATAAACGACAATCAACTCATTTTCTCCATTAGTTGTTGGACATGTGGTGTATGAGAAAGATGAGAAAATTGCAGAAAATTGATGATTTAAACTGGTTCCTTCCTTAGCAGACCACATACACACAAATCTGCCACCAGGTGTGTGTCTACTTGTTCTTTTAATCGTCAAGTCATGATACCATATCGGATCACATTATTACATTGCTTCTCTCCTCTCTTCTCCCTCATCATTCCTCATTCTGGGGTCACATTCAGCTCGGAAATTAAATTAGGGAAAAACAAAGGGTTCAATTTCATCGACTCGATAATAATAATTAATTTCCTCGTAACGTGCACCCACACGTTTTCCATAATATTTTATTCATTCATTGACGCATCTTTTCAACTAAATAACAATCACTTGGCCACTAATTATGGAATCTTAATGGCCGAACTCGATCAGATAAAGTGGGTCGATTTTTCGGTTTTTGCAAAACATCTCTTGTAAAAAAGAGATCCCCTCGGTCTTTGTCTCCGTTCAGGTGTGACAATGAATAATTTGCGGCGTTCTGTGTAAGCCCAGCGAGTAACGAGATCCATCCGTGTCATCCGCCGCATTGATATCGAATTCACTTTTATGGTGGGAGTGGAGAAGAATCTTGTTGAATTTTAATTAGAAGTGTACAACCAAGCAGCGGACCATTATCTCGTGGATCGTCGTCACTCTTCTTCTTCTTGGGCAGGCAGACAGAGGCGACGGGGACGAATTTAAAATTAGATTTTAAGTTAATTCGATACATATATTCTGTAAGGACATGATGCGGCTTTAATTTGTCAATTTGATGGGAATCCGAGCCACCGGGAGGCGAGGGGTAGTTTTCAAATGATTTGCATACTTTCAGAGAGAGGATGATGTTATATTATGTGCAGTGATAGCGATAATTAGTCTCATTCTTGTGGATGCAAAGCATAATAAATAGGTTGGACTTGCCATTAATAAATTATTAGCAAATCCTCACCTCCCGTATGAAACTATAATTATTAAAAAAATAAAACCATTAAGCAGTGTTCTTGTTTTTTTCCTCTTGAAAATGGAGCTTTATTAGCACGTTCCAGCAATATAAAAAGTAACAAATTTCGTGCTGTTTGCCCTCACTTAATATAATTCCGGCAAGAAGAAGGTGATTTATTTCCCCTTCGTTTAGTGCAGCATTATTCCCTTCAAGAGTCATCATCATCCTTAATAAACCTGTAAATGAGTAAGATTTGTATCGTGAACTCGTGTAGATTTTTTGGGCAGATGCAAGTAAACCAACGAATAACAATTCCTTATGTAGAGTAGAATTATTATAGGGTGATGAAACCACTTTATGGGAATGCCTTGTCCGTCCGTCCATTCGTCCGTCAAACTTCGACATGCTGTTTTCACAAACGTGTTCATAATTTTTGAAGCATGGGCAAACTCGAAGTTAGGTGTTGTAGGTTATAAGGTCACGGCGCCACGGATATGAGGTCAACGGTCAAAAATGTCGATTTTTTGTTCCGACCGTTTTAGACATAGTTTGGGGCGGCGATTTCAGAAATCGCGTCCATTTCGACGTGCGATGACCCCATAACCGTGTGGATGGGGTCAAAGTTCGAAATTTAAATGTCGACCTTTTTAGACGTTAACGGAAGACGACGCAAGGCAAAGATATTCCATTTGGTTTCACCCTATTACTACATTCCTTTTGCTATGGTTTATTATTAATGTACGGCACCAGTCAATTCTCCTTGTGTTGTAATGTTCTTTGTTCTTCATGTAATACGAACATTTCATTCATGCATTCACTCACTGGCCATTATTTATTGGGGTTCGACTATGTCTAGTGGTGGCATTTAATAGAAACATTTTGTTTGTACCTCGTGAGTACGGAGTAACACACGTTCCCATTATGTTTCGAAGGAGGAAGGATATTTATCAGGATCAACTTGTGTGTGGTGTTGTTATGTTATGACTAATCGGAAGGGAAGTAATTTGACATGGTCAAAATACGCCGGATAAAAGTAAACCCAAATTAAGTAATGTGCTCTTTCCAGGCGAGGTGAGAGCAGGGAAACTTATCCTACATACTTTACGAGTTACCAATTTATTCATTTTTTCAACAAGCAAAATATTTAAAATAAAATTTCGAACGTTTAGAAACTAATTAGAAATTAAACAGTACAAAATTTCCGCATTCTTCGCACACTTTTTTCCAGCCTGATGGTAAGTATTTCGTGATTGTTGCGTTTAAACGCGTACAAATACGTGAACAAAATGACGCAACTAAATATGTATGTAATGCAACCATGATAGAACACATACCCTGCGGAACAAAACAAAATGTTTGCGATCCACTAAATTGCTTAATTGCATGTGAAGTTGAGAGTTTGTTATGCAGGATTTCGCAGAAAACGACTCCACCTCCGAAAACCAAATCATTTTAATGTGAGCACTTTTAAGAGCACACCAACAATCAATGTCACGTTCACTAGATTGGATTTGGTTACAGTTTAATGTGTCTTAAGCTCGCCTGACACGGGGGCTGAGATTGAATTTGCAAAGATACATGTGTACATGCATACATACCTCGATAATCCGAAAATTGGGAGAATGTCGAAGAGGGTTTAAAGAATTAGGAGGTCTTAATTCGTGTCTGTCCTGGTGTTGAAATAATTCTCAGGTTTTCTTCTCTGGGGCGGTGCAACTGTTATTGAATTGATTGAACCGTGGAAATCTCACGTGGGTGGTTAATTACCTCGCGTTACTCCTTTCTCAGTCATTATCATTATTACACGTCTTTACTCGCTTATTACTCCTCGTACTCCATCCATACGGCCCATTTCTTTGGGTGGTTTGTTAAAGGGGTAATTTCACTCTAGGTGCTCTACGAGATAGTGATCTTTTACATTGCTAAAATTATTAATTAAAGAACGTCCGGGAATGAATGGGAATGGTCTGAAAATGTGGTCATAAAATCACAATGAGTTATCGGAATTTTAAACTTTTTGCATATGTATAATACCAAATACGTACCTACATAATTTAATTAATAGCTAAGGCCGCCACACCCCCGTTGGCGACTAGTTCGATTTTCTTGCGAAGATTTTTCATTAAATTTTTTCCCGAAGTTTTTGCCACTTCCGAGGTGATTTTCTTCCATCGTCCTTTGAATTTTCGAAAGGTGTCAGGCACATCTTGAAGCCGGGAGTATACTGACTTAGAACGTGCCCAGAATTTTTCGATTGGGCGGAGTTGGGGTACATTAGGTGGGTTGATATCTTTTGGTACGAAATCAATATTTTTCTTTCTGAGGTACTCGGTCACTTTCTTTGCATAGTGACAAGTGGCGAGGTCAGGCCAAAACAAAACTTTATCATTTTTGTGAAACCTATTAATAAATGCTTCCAATCCAGCCTTGACGCAATTTTTCAGATAAATATCTTGATTGATATTCCCTTCGAGAACTACCGGGTCTGATACATGTCCGTGACTGGAGATGCATTGCCAAATGCAATATTTCTTTGGAAATTTGTCTTTTTTTCGTACTTTTTCTTCATAAGCCACTTCAGAGGGATCCGAGCTATGAAAAAAATGACGCCCTGGAAGATTTGAAGGGTCAACCGGAACATACGTTTCGTCATCCAGGATCACTACTTTTCCACGCATTTTCAACAATTTTTGACAGCAATCCTTGATCCGACTTTCTTGTACGGGCTTGTAATTTGGTGCAGGTTTTTTGGTCCTTGCTTTGATTCCTAATTTATGGACCTTAATTTCCCCCAGGTAGCTTTTGGAAATTTTGACTTTCCTGGCAGCTACAGCTACTGACGTTGATGGCTTGGTTTTGAAAATTTTTTCAATTCTATTTTTCACTCGAGTGGTCGCTAGCTTCGCCGGACGACCAGCTGGCTTCTTGAATTGCACATTTTCGGAATCCTTGAACTTTTTTATGTAGGAATACACATTTGAACTTGGAATTCCTTCCTGCTTAAAAAAGTTCCAGGTCACCTTGGAGTCTCGGTTGGCTGTCGTGTTGTAGAACTCCATCACTCGTTTTGCTAAAAGCTCCCTTTCAAACAAGCTTCTTCTACCCTTATCCATTTTTGAAATTTAAGAGTGATATACCAAATTGACCCTAATGAAGTGGGCTTTCAGAAATTTAAATTATTATAGTTCGCGGGTTTATTGATTTGTCAATATACTCGCTAGAGCGCGCATTCCCATTCATTCCCGGACGTTCTTTATTCAAAATACAAGAGTAAACGCCGAAATCTTGAAGTAGAAAGTTTGAAAAATTTGTTTCAGATTTCGTCACAAAATTTTTCTGATTTTTTAAATCGCTAAAATTTTTTATTATTCACATAATACAAATAAGCGCCGAAATGTTGACGTATACATTTAGTTTA